CGAAGCGCCGTGAGATATTCGGCGAGTCGCATGAAGGGTGCGCTGCATCCTGCTAAGGGTGTTCGGCATCTTGTGCTTACTTCCTTGCGTACGGATGACAGCTGCGTATGACTTAATTTATTTTCTGCTGCTTTCACTTCCAGAGACAGTTGTAAGCACTGTGTAACTGTCTCGAGGGTGCTTGACCATTTTGACACAACGTGGTGCGATCATCCCCCTTGCGCGGAGTGAGGGTTCTCCACCCCGCACAACATGATCTACTCGACAGCCATTATGGTTACCGCCAAAAAAAAAAACGGAGGTAAAAAACCAAACGGTAACCTGGTTGCCGAGTTCACGAAGTGAATTGGCTTGTGTTACAACGTCGTTGCCAAGCGACGAAACCCAATCCCGATGGCAAACACCGGGGGGGGTGGCTTCTTTTACAACTTCGTTGCCAAGCGACGAGTGGCGCAAGATGCAAGGTATGTGGCAAGGCGGTGTATATATCCCGTCACGCACCCCCGTCCAGCGGCTGTCGCGTGGTTGCCTCTTGCCCCATGCACAACTCGTCCCCAAAACGCTGCAACTGGGGTTCCGGCATCATTTCGTTGTCAATTGGCGAAGTAAGCAGCTCCCGAAAACGAGCATCAAAAGGGCTACGTGCGCATCCCTTGACATTGGCCTGTTCTCCGTTGTAGGCGACGAAACGATGTGCACCAACCTGCATCTCAGCAACCTCGATATTTCGAGATTTTTCAAGTTTTTTTGCTCTTTTCCACCGCATCTCTCGACCGGAGAGGCAGTCATGCCCACCTAGTCAGCCTCCCACAAGCTACCACATTGCGAATAAGTTTATACATAGAGTGTCGGCCGTGCTTTATACAGCTCGGCCGTACCTGTGTGCGGACTCACTGCTGGTTTTCATTTAGTGGTTGTGTGTATCAACCGTCGAAACTCTGTACTCAGGTGTAGTATTTTTTTCGGTGCATATATGCACACGCCAGCATACCTGTTTTTGGGCGATATCCCAGCACCGGCGCGGATATGGGAGTTGCACGCAGATATTATGCGCGTATGTACAGCAGAGCACTAGATCCGCCGTACATACTACGAGACAGCAGTCCTACCTGCATCTACTTTGCACATAGTGTCTTCAGCAGCAGTAAATTCGAGATCCGCTGTATGATACTACTGCTTTAGTCCATACGCATGGTATATGTCGTTGCACAGCAGTGTAAACTTCTCCACGCATTATATTATGCGTCTCCAGCCGGCCTCCGTAGGGAAAACGTGGCGGTCACTAGAGTAACTACACTACAGCATCAGCACAAACCAAGTGTGTGTCTAGTGGTACTGCTTTACCACTGACTGTATGTTGTCGGTAGACTCGTGACTGACTGTTGTGCTGTTTATCTTATGCTTTGCATGCCTTAGCGGTTAGACCATTGACCACGCGTCCTCGAGAGGACGGAGCATTGTTCCCACAGGACCGATCACCGATGGCCAATCGTTCCTTTCTATATTGCCAAAGGTGGCTCAAAAATGTCTTGCCTAGTCTGTCTGTCCTACCGATATCCCTTCCCGCCTTTTCAACCCACCTCCTATGCCCCAGTACAGCTACCGTCCTTTCCTCTCTATTCCATGCCTCAAACATCTCCCTGTACGTTCCATCTATTTTTCCCAGCTCAGTCACGTACACTTCCCTCTCCTTCTTGTACAACGGACATTCCGCGACTATACGAACACAGTCTTCGCATTCGAAGCCGCAATCGCATTTGAACTCGTCGTCTTCCTCGTCTACCGTTCTATGTCTTCGTCGACGTTCTCGAAGGCTTATGTCTCCGGTCCTGAATTTGACCTTGAGCATTGTCCCTGCATCCATTGGTCCATGAAGGTAATCCTTGAACCCTATTCCTNTTTTGTTTGCCCAATTCGCCTCCCATACAATTTTCGGCAACCTCTCCTCTCCCATCCCGCACATGCGATACTGCCA